AGGGGGGGGGGGGGGGGGGGGGGTGAAATTCCCTCTGTGGTGGGGTATAGATATTTTCTGGAACCACACAATATGAGATCTGTATGTTGATATTAAGGGGCCTTTAAATTAAAAGGGTTCAAACTGTTTAGTAGCCGGTAATGTGGACATGTTTCATACAAAATGTATCTTTATAGAGCGACCAGGGACATAATTTCATAGTTTTTACCATGTCTTTATTTTGGATTTATGGCCTTAATGCTTAGGAATTTTATTCATCTTAAAAAAAAAACAACAACAAAGGTAGATTATTAAAGAAGCTTTTAAAATTTCTTGCAGAAAGTCTTGGACTATTAATTAAGGCATGTTATTAAAAGCAAGCAACCTTACTATTAGAACACTATTTAACCTGTGAAAAGAATGCAATTTACTAAACGGGCTAAATGAGTTAATTATCTGCTAAATCCCAGAGATATGAAAGAAACATTACTTATTTAAGTATGCTAATTATTTCAGCTACATTTCATTTGGCAATAAGTTGTTCTACAACGCCTCGCCACATTAACTCTGCGATAATTAAGATCTTAACCCTGTTAATTGGTAAGAGACAAGCGTTTTCATTTCTCCCTCTGCTGAAAATTTTGGCGCTTCTTTAGAACTCACCTCCAAGAACTCATTGAACTCAACAGTTCCGTTCTCATTTTTGTCGACCTCTTTTATAATTTCACGTAATTTATAGCCAGGTATGTCTTCTCCTAAAGCTTTCATAACCGATCCAATCTCTTGGCAAGTTATGTGGCCATTGCTGTCCAAGTCAAACTGTAGATAAAGCAGAGTGAACGAAGTTACAAATTTATAGCAGCTGTATCTGTAGAATTGCACAGCATTAAGCTTTTGCTTACTTGCCAGACGCGCAGATACACGAGCGCAGTAAAATTCACATTATTCAGCGACTACGCAAAGGATAAAATCATTTCGTTTTGTTTGGACTTAAGATCGTTCTATGGAAAGTTGCAAACAACATGTCATCAAGGAAGTAAATTAGAACTTAGCTACATTAAGGTAATTGTTATAAAATGAGCAAGCGAAAGTTTCAGCTGAAAGTCAAATCCTCTTGAAAGAGGATGTTTACCTGACTAAACGACTCTCGAATTTCTGCTACTTCGTCTTGTGAAAGATGAGAGTCTGCCATGTTGAAAAGGCAAAGTTCAAAAACGTTTAACTCGCCAAAAAAGAAGGAAGAAAACAACTGAAAGTATGGAGACTGCTGGATTATAAGCCTGTTTTTCAACTCAGTGGGCCGTGCCGATAAGACCCACTTCCCTTTCCACAAATAACGCTCTCCTATTGGTTAACACCCAGTGGCCTTAACCAAATTTGGTAATCGAGACGATGAGAAATTGTTCCATTCCGACCCATTTCCGTTCCGGCTGAACGCAGAGATATTGTACTTTAACGAAGACCAATTAAATATTTAAAGCTACATTCCCCAAATATGGTTAGAGACAAGAGTTTATTTTATTCCCCGTCTGTATGGTCATTTTCAGTTGATCTGTATTTTTAAGGTCATAGAATGGCTTCAGCATTCCTTCGTATCTATAGAAAGATGATTGATGTATGTTTTGCATTTCTTTTGTTGTTTTACGATTTCCGGCTCGGTAAAAATATTTTTTCGCTTTCGGTGAAAATCTAAAACGAGTTTGCGTGAAATATTGTTATAGCCTGACTAAAATGTTGATATATTTAGGTTTCTTTCATGGTTCCGATTTCTTATGACCCCCGCGCCGAGGTCAAATGTGTTGATATTGAAAGCATAGTTGAGCACTTTCAGAAGATAGACAAATTTCCATAACTGTTGTTAACTAAGAGTACTGTGTGTTTTGTTATTAAATTGTGCGAAGCAAAAATGCATGCTATTGTCCGGGATTGATTGACAAGAAAAGAAAATTAAACAATGACCTTTTTCAGGTCTCGTCATCAAACTATGTAGAATTTGCAATTCACAATGTTGTTCTGTGTACTCGTGGTTACCCAAGAAATGTGTGTCAACAAAGATAAATCTCAGTTTCCAAAACAAGAGGACATAAATGGCTTCGACTAGTTAATGACGTTTTCTCCTTTAGAAGAGAGAGTGGCTGTAAAAGCAAAGTTGGATAGCAAAACAGAAAAGAAAGAGAAAGAGACGAAAAGTTTCTCTTTTTTCTCTTCTCTTTTACTATTTCTTTTAATCTCAAAAAAGAGCTACCCTGCGAGCAGTGGTTTCTCCAGGCCGAACGCTAAGCTACGAAGGTTTCTCTCCCGTAGCGTCCGGCCTGGAGAAACTACTGCTCGCAGGGTACAAAAGAGGAAAAAGGAATGACCTTTTTTTAGCATGGATGACCACGACTGTGTCACTAAAGAGAGGAGGGGAGAAAGCAATCCTATCAAGTTATATATACCCGGCGGAAGTTGATTTTCCGACAGGGAAGTCCGCCCGCCAACTTTTTTGTTTTTGAATTTGCCCGTGTACATATGGGTGACAGTCAGGTGATCCGATTGTGAACTTCATCGCTGTATAGGGAATTTCGAAATAATAGGAACAAATAGTATCAATTATATTTTTAAAAGACTCGATAGGTGAAGGGGAGAGATTGAAAGAGGGGACTGAGGTCTATCTAACTTTGTTATCAGGGCGTCAAGGCGTTTCACCTCTACAAACCTGAATTACGTCATTATGAGCAATGCTAACGTCAGCAGCAGCCCTGGATGACGGAGTTAAAATGTGAACTACAAAGGGCTTTAAATAATAAGTGTCAGAATACTGTAAGAGTGAAATGCAGTGTTGTTTATTGAAAATACCTCATTAAAACTGCACGGTCAAAAGGGAGTTCGTTGCCGATGTATAGCAGCGTATACCTAAGATTTCGGCTAATATACAACAACACGGTGTGTAATATGTTTAAAGCACTTGCCATGTTGTATCGTCTATTCTATCCATACTGATACTTTAGTTGTTCTGATCAAAGAGCTTTACGCATCTTGATGTAATGACAAGGAAAACTTCATATGTTAACAAAAACTGTTTTAATTTCGATTTACACTGTAACTGCAACAGCCTGTATTCAAGGAAAAGCAGTAATGAATCAATATAAATTATTCACGAAGAAATGCATGGAAAACCGACGGAAATATGAATGAAATGGTCTCTTCGTTCAGCAACAGGGGACAGAGAGCATTGTATCGATCTATTTTTAAAAACATGAAAACGAAAAAGACCAATATCCAACAATAATTAAATAAATAACGGTTCATCTCTAGCTCAGACCATAGCTTCATGATTCATTACTTAGCTGAACAATAAAATTTTGTCCATAGTGTATCCTCTCAGTAGGTCTAAAATCATATTTTTCAAAACTAAAAAGTTTAAAGAAGACGCCACTTTATCTCAGAAACTCAGTATTTTTTCAACGCTTTTTGCCATTTTTGGATTTCACAAGTTTTACCAAAAATGGCATTTTTCAAATTAAGTTTTGTTGCTATTTTAGATGCGGAGCCAATTACGATAAAAGAGTAATAACAACTAAAAAAACTTTATTTGCCAAATCTCTACACGTTCTGTTCGCAGAAGGAAGTGGAGATATCTCAGCCTCGTCCCCAGGCAGGTTGACGTGAGCAGAGGAGACTTGGAGCTGAACGTGATTTTTCCCGACAAGCTTGACAGATGACATCACATCCGAAATGAGAACGAGGCTGGAGAGGTGCCTGCGTAGCAGGCGCTTGGGAACGATCGGACGGGGCGCACATGAAGTATTGCCACAGTTTCTGACGACGTATTACAGGCAAATTTTGAGTAGAACGAGCAAAGAATACGACGTCTGAACTGCTCTCAAGCCCAAGTTGAAGAGGGTACGCATGAATGTACCTTGATTTTTCAGCTTTCCTTATAGTCTTGCGTAGCTATAAATGTTTTGAGTCAGTGATGAGTTTCAGTTTGCCTATTTTCGTTAACTACTAGAAAAAAGGATCGCCTTTCGTAGACAAGATTAATACCACATAACTTAAAAATTTTAAGTGGCAGGTTTTCAAGTTTCAGCAGTTTTACTAATCCGTTCTATTTTACTCTACTCCGTAGCTTTTTCTGCCCATTTTTGTAATCCCTCTAAAGTGGGAAAAAGTTATACGGCTGTTACTTTCGTCAATTTTCTCGGAGATCGTTTGGCAAGTGCTTTTATGACTTGACCAAGCCCCTGAATTTGGTAGAAGGGTGACAGACAGAAACAATCAGAAAATCTAAAGGATATGGAGAACTTATTACTACAGAAAAGGACAGAAAAGGACAGAAAAGGTCATTTTTGTGTTGTATCTTTTAAAGAAAGCATAAACAAATAAGTATTCATCGTCTTCTCTTTTTATCTTTTAGAGCGGCGCAGCTTACTTCGGTCAGCTTAAACGATGAAAGCTCCTGAGTTCTTTTCTTCGGGTCGTTAAGTAGCTTGAATATTCCCCTGAATCTTTAATTATATCCTCTCCTGTCCATAGTCAAAGCCAAGTGGTGAAGAAACTTAAAGAATTTCCAGCTTTGGAAGTTGGAAAATCTCTTTGGGAATCGTGATTGTTCTGTCCAGATACAGTTTACATAAGCTCGTAAGCTCGTTCATACACGCCGGTAACTCAATCAACGGATTTCCTTCAAGGTGAAGAATTTCTAAACTTCGCAAATTTCTAAAGCTATCAGGCAGACCTCTGAGCTCATTGTACGACAGGTCCAGTTGTTGCATGGTGATCAGCTCGCCAATGCTGCTCCGAATAAAATCTGGAAGCTCTCTGATCTTGTTTTTGTTCAAGTCTAAGGTGGAAAGGCTTGGCACTTTACAGAGGACTTCAGGGAAAACTGACATTCCGTTGCAGTTTAAAGACAAAACTCTTAGATTAGCAAGACGGTGGAACCAAAATGGTAACTTTTGAATGTTGTTCTTTCCCAGATCAAGCTCTTCCAGGTCCCGGAGATTTATGATGTTATCTGGTATTAAATTCAGCGAATTCCCGCTCAGATTTAGTGTCTGTAATTCCATCACGCTGAAAACAGAGTAGGGTATCTCTTCAAGACCATTGTTGTCCAGGTACAACACTCGTAAAGAATTCATCTCAGCAATGGACAGAGGAATTAAACGAATGACGTTTCGGCCTAAAAACAGTTCCCTCAAGTTTTTCAGCTGTTTGATCTTTTCTGGTAATTCTCTAATTTTGTTTCCCGCAAGAAGGAGATATTCCAGCTTTACTAGAGAGCAGATTTCGTTTGGAAAGAATGGCATATCGTTATTTTCCAAAGAGAGATACGTCAAGTGTTGGAAACTTTCAAACCAGTCTGGAAGTGCCTTTATATGATTGCCATTAAGGAACAAGCGCCTGAGATGGTTTAGATGTCGTAAATTCTCTGGCAGCGAGATCATTTCGTTAGAATTAAGACTTAAAATGCGTAACTTGGAAAGTTTGTCCATTCCAGTAGGCAAATCCATGATTTGGTTGTGGTCAAGGAGAAGCGAATTGAGATTTACTAGTTCGCAGATAGTTCCCGAAACATATGAAAGTTCTTGCCAGCTAAGGTCAAGCGTTAATCTTCCTTGTTCCATTTTCACCTCAGGAAATAATTCACTAATACTTGCAAGATGTCCAAATTCGTCGAGTTTGTTGTCAAGTGATTCAGATTCAACTGAAGATGTTTTTCTCTTCAATGTCGATTGAGAGTTCGCGTCAACTCTCCAGCCGCGCCATGTATACCTTGATCCATGATTCAATACCTTCACCGGTCTTCCATGTTCTCTTCTAAGTTTTGGAAGCTGTACATTAATAGATGGCAAAAAGCCCGCTTTCTTAAGCTCGCGGATGAGTATTCCCCACTTTGGTGATGGGCGCATTGCTTGACCGACCCTTGCTTTAGCGCTAAGAGTATTACGTTTTACTCGCTCAGCAATATTGGGGTCTGCATCTTCAGATTTCAAATTAACAAGACCTGGTTCTCCTCCAAAGACATCTCTTTCTTCTTCGGGGTGATTTAGATTTATTTCTGAAAACACCATTGAACGATCTTGAGCAACTACAGACGTATTAGAAGTTTCTGGAGCTCCCAGACCCGTCAGTCTCTCCGTAATGACCTTTGCATCGACATGGTTCATCTTTGCTTTCGTCTGACTCTGCTTTTTTGGCTTTTCGTTTTTACCCAGGGTTAACACTTTCTTGTTGTTGCTCAAGTTAAGCTTTTCAAGCTCTGCGAGATATGGTAGCAATGACCCAGGAAGCTCGGACAATTTGTTGTCGTCCAAGTAAAGCTCTTTTAACTGGAATAAGTTGTCCAAGTTTGGATGAAGGAATGTGATTTCGTTGTCGCTCAAAACCAGAACTTCAAGACTTGGAAGTGAGACGACAACTTCGGGAATGCTCTGGAGATAATTTCCCTCCATGTTTAAGTATTTCAAGGTTGTTAGATAGCGAAGACTCGGGGGAAGAGTTTTGATGTTATTGAAAGAGAGATTGAGTTTTTGCAGGTGACATAGATGACTAAAACAATACGGCAAAGTCTCAATCAGATTTCGATTCAATTCCAAGACTTCTAATTTGATTAAGGTACAAATCTGCGCAGGCAAAAATTCCAAATAATTATTTCGTAGATAAAGTTCCTTTAGATAACGAAGTGAGACGAAATTATAAGGAAAATTTGAGATCTTGTTGCAGTTGAGATTAAGTACTTCGATGTTGTTTCTCTGGCACACTTTCGCTGGTAGGGATTTCAACCTGCGAAAACTTAAATCTAACGTCAATTTACCATTTTCTACAACAGTATCGGGAATATCGGAAAGTATTCCTTCCTCAAAGTCATCTGGCCATGATATATCTATTCGTGAGGTTGTCAAGTCGGGTGCCATATTGTCTGCTTCGCTATTCTTGGACAAACAGCTCTGTCCCATCAATGCTATTCCGGTTTTCCTTTCAGATATACTATGTCCTTCGAGTTCTCATTTTCTTTATAGTGTCATCAAAATGGTGGCCAACTCGTAACATGAATACTCTTCCAAAACCAGTTCATAGATTCCGTGTAAGCTTCATTGTATCACTAAGCTACACAAGAGCGTCCCCTTATTAATTTGGCAATCCGCTAATCACGACTGTTGTGATGCAAATGAGTTAAAACTGGTGGGATGGATCATCGCCAATATTATATATGAACGCTGGCGAACGTACCAACAAACAAACAGGTGATGTGAATCTTTTAACAGGAACCCACTCCTGTATTTATTAATATTTCCTCATCTCTCTAGCTTCGACGTGCATTAAGTAGCAACAACAAAAGCTAGCCTACGTAGCGGGCGGAATCCGTGCGGAGAATGATAAGGAGGCACGTTTCTTGCGCCTTCTGCGCTCGCTACTCGCGCCAAAACTGCGCGGACAATGGCAGCTTCGCCGCCAAAAATCGCACACACACAAAAACTATTCCACCAGCTGCGTAGGCTAATAAATGCTCACGCAATTACCGCGATATCAGCGGTAATAACGTCATATCCAGTTTGGTGAATTCTCCTTGATGTGTGGTGTTCAGAGAGAGATTTCTAGTTAATGCCGAATGCCCCAAGAATAAAATTTGTCCATTAAAAAAATGCAGGCAAATTTCCGTCCAATTTTAACCTAGACGATTTTCAAACGCAAATTTCCCTGCAATAATAAGCCCCACAAGAAGGGCCTTGAAAAAAATGTTCAACAAACAAAAAGCACAACACAAACAACAACAACAACAACAAACATAACGGCGGAATCTTAGACGCCCTCAAATAGCTTTTCGCTACCTTCAACATACTAATTTAGCACTGCAGGACTAAGTCTGATTTACACATTCTTGGAGCCTTACGAGCACAATTTAAGCTAAAAAAAGCCGCATCAAAAGTCCATCCAGCCCACGCTTGGACTCTTCTCAGCCCGTGGGTCCAAATCAACCCTAATTGAACTGTACTAGCCCTGATTAAAGAAACCGAATTAGACCCCAAAAATGGTACAGTATTTAATTTTACTCACCGAAACGGCCCCTTTTTTAGGGCTTAACATATCTTTTTCATTTACAGTTAGGGCTAGCGCTAGCCCTTATTCGCCCGGTGTGAAGTTTTACGTAGCAGTTGCAGCATGGTTAATAAGCAAATCGAAGCAATTTGTCTCAGAGGGGCCATGCCTGGAGGTCTAATTATAAAAACGCAATATTAAGGAACAAAACCACAGTGTCACAGCTTATTCAACGTTTATTTAAGTTTATTACAATAGAGAAATATTCCATGTTCAATTAAATACAAATATAATAATCATATTCTACCCAGCGGTTAATCAAAAACGTGAACGTCCTTTTCAAAATATACATATACCTGCGGTGTCCCAAAGAGCAGGACTTTCAGAGGCAAACTCAAGAGAAAGTGGCGAAAATTAAGTTTCACCGCTTTCTCTTACCCACCGTTGCCCAAATGGTTTGTACTTTTCTTCCGAGAAAGGTCCTAGCTTGGTAGCCGTATTTCTAAAGATTTGGCCGATTTTCGTCCACTACAACCATTAAACTACAAAATGATGAAAACGGATAGCCGTTTATTGGAAAAATTATCACCACGTAGCAAAAATTATGAAGCTTATTTCCGAGCATTATAAGACACAGCTGCATAGAAACTGAGGCAAACTTAAAAAACAGCTGGCTGCTACTTTTCAATTTTACCCGCTGGATGTAAGTGATCCACTTAACTATTCTTCATTCTGTCCAACGTGTGGATTTTCTGTCTCTATACTTTGTGTTCTTCTACTGTTTTAGGGTCTGTTTACATGGAAGTGGGGGACCCCAGGTAGGTGGAGGTAAGCCACTTAGGACAGGGACCGCGGAGCAAGGTGAAAAGTGGCAGGGCTGACAATTGAAAATATTTTTTTCATATTGAAAATCGAAAAAACCGAATAAAATCATAGTATTTGATTTGTTTCTGTCGCGTGACTTTGCATACTTTATCCAGTGTATTTGTTGCTCTTTATAGGTCGGCCAACATACACGGTCAGTTCAGATTCAATGCAAGAAAAGACGCGATTACAATTTTAGTATAGAAAATACTACACTGAAGTGATCTGAAAAATTTCTAACTATGGTCGTTCACTGTTCAAGTAATGTAATTCTTCTTGCCATCGAATATTTCATTGATTCGAAAGGAGAAACTGACAAAAGATAAAACTTTTATCAACTCAAAACAACTACTCACCTTCGTTTGGCTTGAAAAAGCTAGTAATTTTCTTCATTTCGTCTGATAAAACTGATAAAAAACTCTGCCGGAGCTGGAAGTACAAAACACGCTGCCGAAAGAAGCGAAGGGGTGGCCAAGGCATGGCGTTTGATCAAGGNCAAACACTTGATGTAATATACCAAGAACAGCATTTTCATGGAAAAATCAGAGTGATACCAATGGATTCTTTCACACAACGTTTTCACGTGTCGACATCCCATCGGTCACATTTTTATACCAAACCAGTCCTGTGTATCCAAAACACTTTTTTTTTCAATGATCTAACTGCATATTCACTGGACACTGAAAATGCTCTCACGTCAGGTCAGTACAGAAGAGGTTGTCAGCGACTTACAAAAGAAAAAAGGGCAAAAGCTAAAATGAATATTCACAAGAAAGAAAACCAGAATGAATGCATATCAACTATCAAAGGAGCCTTTGAAGTTTGCTCTGCCGATACACTGGGTTAATAACAATTGCATTTTGGTTACTTGAACACAAAAGTGTCATAAATTCTACCATTACTATAATATATTAAGTGACCATACACAATTCTAAGTCCAGTAAATCTAATTAATTGTACACAAAATGACAGGAAAATGTCACCAACCACCCTGGCTGTCGAGAGCCTTACAAAGTGTTTTTTTTTGTTTCTTTTTCTGATTCGCGATTCACAGACGTTTAATCAAAGAAATCCACCGAAAATTACCCCGGCAGGAAAATTACTTGGAAATTGGCTCCGATCATGCTCTCTCTATATTTCTCTCTGTGATGAAAAATGAGGAGGTTTGACATTAAGGCAAGTAACTCTGTCGTTGTCAATGAAACAACAGTAAAGTTTTAGGATCAAATTGAAGTTTTTGTGAAAAATTGCCAAGAACAGTTCAGTTATTTACCCGGTTTTCTGCACTTACAATTGAAGCCACACATCAAGGTGAAATGCTTGGAGAACGGAAAATGGGCGTTGATATAATTAACTTAAATACATAGAGAACAGATAATGGTGCTTTTATAATTATTAATTAAATGGATGGTGAACAAAATGGCGTTGATATAATTAACTCAAATGCATGGAGAACAGAGAGTGAGTGTTTTTATAATAAAATGCATGAACAACAGAAAATGGGCGTTGATATAATTAACTTAAATGCATGAAGAACAGAGAATGGGCGTTGAATTAATTAAGGTAAACTAACGTTTTCGCTTGCGTCGCTGTCGTAGATGCAAATGCTTTAAAATATGATAAAGGGCATAAATCATAAATAATGTTTATGTTTACAGTGATGTGAATCATATCTTCCTTAAAAGATTCAAACGACTTTGTGTTTGAAAACCTGGATCAGCTCTTTCATTTTAGCGAGGAACTGCAGCTTCCTCACGGGTCACTGAAAATATATTCTTAGGGAAAATAAATGGTCCTTCCAAAGACTACAATCTATGATTCCACTGGCAAAATTAAATAACATATTTTGACGTACACCGGGGAAATTTTGCATTAAATCCCAGATTTAAACTTAAATCTAATTTAACTAAATCCATTTCCATACTAGTTGGTTTCCTGGGCAACCGTTCTTTGTTTCGTCACACAAGGCGTAGCGTGACGACAAAAAGAAAGGTCCGCGTAGGAGACTTGGCACTAGTAACAGCTGGAATGGAACTACGTTGAGGGTGGCATTGTAGTGACTGTGGGCACACTTAAAGTGGGTAAAATATGCGCCACGCCCGTTGAAGACACTGTTGTCGGATAGGGAGAATAGACGGGCTGTATTCCCCCCATGGGGAGGTACGTAGGAGCTCCGGCTTGCAAACCCCCCACGGGCATCACCTGAACCCCTTGCGGCATCATCGGAACTCCCTGCGGCACCATTGGAACTCCCTGCGGCATCACCGGAACCTGCGGCATCACAGGGGGGATAGCAGCGTAGGTGATCTGAGGAGACACTTTCTCGTAGCTGGAGAGACGCTGCTGTTGTTCGACGAGTTTGCTCTGGTTCTCTTTGAGCTGATCTTGTTGGGCTTGAATTTGACGCTGAAGCTCCCTGTGTTGGTCCTTGAAGAAAATGAACGTAATATATTAAAAAAAGGAAGGAGTCCGATTCAGCCCTGCTTTTTTCAGCGACTTGAAGTTGCGGTATCTGGATATCAGAGGAACCTACACTTTTACTACGGTACTGAAATATTTGTTCCGCAGTTCAAATATATGTAATTCCTATGCTTAGTTTTAGATCTTTACCGTCTCCGGGTGGCGAAGTCACAAAGTGACCAGCTCCTAGTTGGCTCAATAGCTCCCATCAGAGTTAAGAGAATTGCACTGGTATCGCAGGAATCATGAGTTCGAATACCGTTCGAGCCTAGTTTTTTTTTGTCAGGCTTTCTTTAGTTGCGCACGTGACTGTGATAAACTTTCACGTGATAGAAGACTTAGACTGAGTTTAAATATGAATGCGAGTGCTTGCCTTGAAACTCGAAATGTTACTGGGAAGTTCAAAGAGCAATAATTGAACTTGCATGGAGGAAATGAAACCGTAAGATTTTTGACAAGGTGGCAATTACCTTGGCCTTGCTCTCTCGGACGTTCGCTCGACAAATCCCATAATTTGACAAATTTCTATCATTTGCAACGTAACACCTCTTTACTCTATTGCGGAAATAAAAAATTACTTGACCATTCTAAATCAGGCAAAACTGTTCGTTCGTCAGGAATCTACCGGGAAACCTCGCTGGCGTATAAGTAACCAACCAACTGCGTGTGATTACAATCGTACATTCGACAAATTACCAGATTTTCTCTCCGCTTTCTAAAAATAGTACGTGGCCCCGCTAAAGCTCAATAGCAAAGAGGTTTTAGTTGTGTCACATTCTTACCGCTAACTCGTGACCCCGCGAATGCTTGATAACAAAAAGGTTTTAGGTGTGTGACACTGTCACGCCACTTAACTTACCGCTAACTCGGCCTCTTTTTGCTTTTTCTGTTGTTCTTCAAATTCTCGCTTCTGCACCTCCAGCTCCAACTTTTGTCTTTGAAGCTGTTCAAGCAGGAAAAGCTGCTTATCATGTTCCTGTACCAGAAAGGTGATTAACACTACATTAGTAAAAAAAAAGGATGAAATGCAGGCGGCAGTGTAATCGCCACTTTAGAAACGAGAAGGGAACTGAAGCCGAAATGCGTCCCGCTATTGGTTTGGGATTAAGTTCGGGATCGTTACTGGGGACGCGCCGGTCAGCTATTGGCCAATTTTTCCCCTCTCCCTAGAAGACCCAACAGTCCCAGAGGTCTTTGGAAAATCAATTTGGCCCAGTTCCCGTCTCGTTTCTTTAGTGGGGGAATTGACTTCCCACAGTAAGCTTACGATTCTAAAGCGTAACGCCTGGGCTTGCAAACCAAAAGGAAGTAAACTCACCAGAATTAACTCCTGTTGTTTTCTCTGCTCACGGGCAATTTTCTCGACGTCTTCTACAGAAACCTTCCTCGCCTAAGGAAAATTAAACAGTACATGATCATGAAGCTGATAAAACACTTTTAAATTTCGGCTTGTTCTTCGGAGCGCATTGTTGAAAGCACTCGCGGTCATTAATCAGAATCTGGTCTGGGTTCGATTCCCGAAGTCCACGCATGGGTTGAGTCTTTGTACAAAACCCGGCCTTTTTTTAGCCTAATCCCGACCTGTCCCCTCCCCTTCAAGGGGCCTGACACAAAGGCTAGAGCTAGCTGGGCTACGAAACACTGATTTCTGTAGAAGGATAAATTTTTGCTGCTACGAATAAGTGCGTGAATACTTTTTCTATCAATTCCATTAACCTATGGCTATCAATCACATACCCTCGAGGTTCCTTCGTCCGTGTTCGACTGATCTTGGGAATCCAGCACAGGTGGCGGTGGAATAAACTCTTTCTCAAACGACTCCTGTCGTGTCATTTCAACCTTTCGCCCGTATGATGACGTACGCTCTCTTCCAGTGTCGGCGGAGGGCTTGACCTCAGTCCCGGCAAAGCTATTGGGACGCGGTTTCACAGCAGTAGCAGGCGCACTGAGCTTACTTGACCTGCGCTGAGCGGGTCCGGATGATCCATTTACAATCTCTATCTCTTCCTTTGCCGCGGCTGCTTTAGCATTAGCCACTATGACCCGGAGCTCACCGGAGTTTTCCGGCTCCTTTTCGCCAATTTCTTCTGAACGTTCCTTGCGTCTTTTCATTATAAACTTGAAGAAAAAAGTTATTCATTCATAATTGCCTAATTCACAGGTTCCTAGTTACAAACCCATTCACAATTTATTGCTTTTGCGTCAACCCTTTCAGGGGCGTAGCGTGAGGTTTTGAAGGTGTACTCACGGAAAGGGGGAGTCTGGGGGCATGTTTCCCTAGAAAATTTTTTCAACTTTAGGGGCTCAGAAATGCCATTTCCTGCGTTTTCAGTAAATAAATACGAAGGAAAATGCAATAATTAGTTGTTTAATTTACATCTCTAGTGTTTTCGGTAAGGTGCAATGGTAACCGAAAAAAAAGTAAAACAGTGACGCCACCAAGGAGGTTCAAGCAAAGAGCGAGGTGTCTACCCTTCAGACGGGTAAAGATACAAATATAATGCGAACGACTTATCACATCATCCCGATTTAACGATAAAAATGCTTTCAGGAAATAAAAATATTTTTTTTCCGGATTTCAGCTGTACGCACGGGCGTACGTATGTGTGTATATGGACGCTACGCCCCTACCTCCAAGTCCCAAAAGTGACCAACGCAGCGTGTAAAGGTGATGCAATGTTGGAAATGTGTTGTAACCATTCGAAACAATGTCGCAACAATGTTGAAACGCTGTGTTGTACTAAAAATCGTCGTTGTGAATCATCTCGTGTAACATCACCTTAAAGAAAGTCAGTTTAGCCCGGGTCTAGTAGACTGCGAGCAGTCTCTCTTTTTCGTCTCGCGCCTTTAGTCACGCGCGTGCTCATTTGCGTGTCTCGCGCGTTTCTCTCAACGGACTAAGCAAAAAGAGAAACTGCTCGTAGTCTAGGGTCTCGTGGATTTTGCTATCGGGTTAGTGAATTCTGTTCTTAACTTGCCTGACCTGGTCGGTGGAATTGTTTTTTGAGAATTCAAATTACAGAGGAACTGTTATCAATTTTGCTGGTCAAGAATTCTTTTCAGGCTAGTTGAAATGACTTTTGGGCTGGTACATGGTAGCTTCTGCTTGTCTGGATGGCGAGCTGTAAAACTGACCCTCTTTACACCCTGGATAAACATTAATTTTCTCCTAACAAGACCTAAAAATATTAACACATAACCAAGAGAGAAGGTTATGACAACTAATAAAATGATCACCCAAAGAAAAATTCTTTGATCTTTTATCAAATCCTCCCCAGGAATTCGATAAGGAAAAGCATTGAGCTCAGTCTGGAGAATTTATATGTGGACATTAGTGTTTAAAGGGCTATTAGTTGCACTTACTGCTAATTCAGATCCTTTCGGTACAACCTAAAAGAAAAGAAACAAACGAAAAAGTTATTTTTTTGTCTAATGTCAGACATCTCTAGTAAATAGTATATTTCCCGGCATACGGCATCAGAACACAAATTTATTTTTGCAAGGAGAATGGCTATCAATACCTTCCAACTACCCTTCTGAACTGTGAACAGACTATAAATCCTTGATCCTTCAGATTCACCACAAGCTTGCTTTAGCTGTTCCCTCGTCATTTGATCCAAGTCTTTAGCGGTCTTTCCGGACAAAGCTGTCACAGAGCTGCAATAAAGTGGCAAAGAGAAAACAATCCATGATACATGAAAGGTTGGCTTAAAGGAGTAGTGTCGCTAAAGGACTCTTAATAAAAGTCAGAACTGGATCCCCGGACCGCTTATTTTTTAAATTAATTATTAGTCTTTTCTCTAAACTTTCGCTTAAAACACTTTACAGGTCTGTTTTAAGTGTAACGGGCGCAGAAAAACACCATTTCTTGGGACGAAGGGGGGGGGGGGGAAATCAGGTTTAGTCTTATCGTGACAAGTGTCCCAAGAGTTTTGACCTCCATTGTGAACCTTTGAGTTTAGCAAAACTTAACAATATTTATTAGGCTCCAGTTACATATTCCTATAGATTAAAATAATAATAATAATAATAATAATGATAATAATAATAATAATAACAATAATAACAATAATAATAATAATAATAATGATAATGAAATTGCCTAAAATTTGACTTCTCGCTGGATTGAAGTGGTTTACCAACGTACGAGCACCTCGAAAGGGGTCTGCAGTGAGTGCAGAGTGTTCACTCAGATTTCATACAAGAACTTTTACGCAACTAAAAGAAACGACAATTTTCAGTAACAAACCTTGGCGAAAAACCTTTACTCTTCAGCCATTCTTTTACTTCTGCGGCGTTTGATTCCGCATTTAAGTGAACAGCGGGTGAAATGTCTGTTGAAATAAAATACAAAAAAACATTTCTATGTGTTCTTTTTTGTATGTAAAAAGGGCCTTCATTTACACAGTAATTAAGATCAACGAAGTGATGGCATCCTGCTTAGCTTGTCAACCAGCTACGAATGTACACAAGTACTTATTCATTTTCAGACTCGATCTTATTATTCAGTTCAAAAGTCAGTGTTGAATACGATCTTGGAAACCTTAGAACTTTGATGAAATAAGGTCGGAGGCGGGTATCATGTTTTTAAGATCGGCAAACATAATTTTTGGCTCAATTAGAAAAGGTGCAGATAACAACTCTTCAAAATAATTCTTATGAAGAACATTGGAATGAAACCACATAGTTACGTTTGTGTTGATATAGTGAACACTTAACCTGCGTAGCAAGAGTTTCCGCAAGAGTTTGTTATTTGCCTAAAATGTGATCCTAAATTTCTAAAATTCCAGTATTAGACACTCTGGCTGAAATCTTACAACTTGAGTCCACCTAAGTTGTAACATTGATAATTCTAAGTTTTAGTCTAAATAAATAATTAACGCGTTACCATTCAATCAAAGCTCAGTATTGTTTGGTATGTTCTATCGGCCTTTGGCTATCTCCAAAACAATTACCTTTCCTTTCCGCTTTGGGTGTCAGTCCACTTTGACTTGACGACATCCTTCGTTTCAGCTCGTCATTTAACATATCGGATGAGCTCACTATCATAAACATGAAAACCAGAACAACATCTTTTAACGTATTGCTTCGCAAACAAGCAACAAGAGGTTTGAAAACACATTGTTTCAAAAAAAATAATAAAACAGTTTCGTTGTTACTTCGTCGTTTACTTTGGTCAAGAGAATACCACGTACATCGTACATAAACGCGACGATCACATAAGCCCCACATCTAAAATTTGTCGTTTTTTGAACGGTGAATCCATTAGCAGTGTGCGCGTATAGCGGTCGCATTTGGCTTTGCAATTTTTCATGGATTTTAAGCTCAAAAACAAAAAAAAATCCCAAATAGCAAATGCGACGGCTATACGCTTATACTGCAAATGAATTCACCCTAAGGTCTGATTATAAGAGCCGAGCTGGTTCCGATTTCTGAGATGACTATTGATCACTATTATCTCTGTATTACGCCATCTCGAGATTCTAAATGAACGGGGTGGCTAGAGTCACGTAACCACAATGTTGACTTGTGTTGCGTTTTGTCCACGGGTCGCAGTTTCGGAAAAGCGAGCCAAACCGGCTGGGCTAATCAGGCCTAAAGGACGACGTTTGTCCATATAAACAGGGCTTAGTGCCGTAGCCGTCGTGTTGCAGTGGATGTAACACTGAATAAATAGTTCTTACATCTGTTGTTATTAAAATCTTCGCGTCGTTTCTTTTCAGCCTCCTTGTCGACTTTCTTGAGATTCTTTGCTTGAATTGCCATGGCAAAGTCTGTGCCTGCAGGAAGGGAAGCTAGTGAAAAAAAAAGAAACAGTTCAACTTCAACTTTATTTAACAAAAAATAGTAATTACAATAGACTGGGCCGCAAAATAGTTATTGCTAATCTAGGCGGCCCAGTTAAAAGAAGAATAAAGTGAAAGGAAAGGAAGGAAAATATTTTAAGTTACAATAATTCTTATTTTTATCATAGTTTTATTTTAATTACATTACATCTAAGGAAAAAGGAAAAGGGAATGCTGACTAGCCTCCAGTCGTCTTCGCGTAACGCGCGCGTCGGGAGCCGGGGTGATGGGTGATCGCGCCACTAAGGAGAGACAGAGAGAGGGACGACTGGGGACGAGTCAGAAGGAAACGATGGAGAGCGGAAAGCATATAATTTTGTCAAAGAAATCACTTAACAGTTAATCCAACTTTTTCAATTATCAATGGCGTCTCAATATAGTCATCTTCTCTTTTTAAGATATCGGAGAGCAATCCGTGAAGAACTTTCGTAAATTCCTTTTTAGGAAGATCTCTAATATGACAAGGTATCTCATTCCAAAGTTTTACGACAAAACGAGACAAGAAGTTTTTGTGTATTTCCAGCTTTGAGCTTTTAACGTGAAAATTACCAGAAGTAGATGATCGTGTAATGTATGAATGAATTGTTGAGGTTTTTTCAAATAAATTTAAGAGATTTGGTAGCGAATTGTTGTTGTTAATATCGTGCATTAGACTAGCTACAGCTTTATAATACATAAATGTCACTGGTATATGTCAGCGTCGATAAATAGAGGAATTGCGTGTTCACGTATATCCATAAAATACATCATGCGGAGCACTTTCTTTAGGAGAATTAGAATTTTATTGAGGGAAGTCTTGGATGCCTGACCTCAGGCAGCAAGACCATAGTTTAGGTAAGGGTGGATTACTTTTTGGTAAATGTATAAAAGTATATGACGAAATATGGAGTGCCGAAGTTTTGAAATAAGTCCAACAGTTTTACTGATTTTTGCCGAAAAAGCGTCAACGTGATAATTATTTCCAAGTAAGGTTTTTATCAACCAACACAACAAGATACTTAAAAAAATTTCTGGACTCTAGAGTAACATTTCTATTTTTCACGTTATCGAACATGCTTCTTTTAAGCAAATTCACACCGTTGCACACAATTTTAACGCGTTTTAATAACAGTGTTGAAGTTGAAGTTGGAAAATTCTCGTGTTTCCCTCGCGCGGTAGAATTAAACTAACCGGCGCCTGCCACGCACGCTACTTTATCACTATCTCTGGGAGTTGAAGCCGGAAAACAACAGGAGGCAACAAGTAACTCAGTACAAACCGTTCTCTTTCTGTGTTGTGCCATTTTTGTTGGTAATCACCTGGGGCGGAGGTGTGGCCGGTGGTGGAGGAGTGGAAGGTGGAGGGCTACTGGGAAGTTCTGGGGGGACCAGTATATGTGAAGGGGGAGCGGATACGGGGCGGTTTGCCTTTGACATTCCAACTGGGCGTAGCTCCACACGAGGAAACTGCGAAGTCTCCTGTGGAGCCAGTGTTGTTGATGTTACTGGTGTCCGTTTTAGTGCTGTGGTTGGTGTAGATGTTGTTGTTGATATTCTTGCCGATGATGAAGATTGTACAGTTGCAGTCTCAAGTTTCTGCACCTAAACACGGGAAAGTAAAGCCGTTAGTATCGTTCAGTGTCAACTAATGAGTTAAGGGCAAATATAACTATTTATGTAAAGATAATTATTATAATGGTTTTTTACGAATAGAAAAGAAAAAAACAAAACAACATAAAGAAAATATCTTCCGATAGCTGTTGTAAATTACGAAATTGCGGAAACCTGCACGTTACTATTTTGCATGTGAATGGTCAAGAAGGTGAGATTAATAATGAGAAAAAGAAACTAACAACGTCAAAAAACATTAAATAATGGCCCTAAAGGTTTTAATTTCTACAAGACAAGAAGGGAATTGACGTACCGCTGTTTGAGATGACGTCACCTGTGTAGTGGGTACAGGGGGCGGAGCCGTTGTTGGGGGACTGGGAAGCACCACTAAAATGCAAGATCAGAAAATCTCGTATGAGTGCAAGACAAATGCGCGGCTTCAATGGCGCGCTCGGAGTTTCTTGTCATGATCGAGGTGAAGCCTTTTTCGTGCGTATAACGGGCTCCCCATGTCAATTGTTTTTGACGTTTATCTGCTGATCAGCTGATAATACAGAGATGTAGAGTCACTTACGGCAAGTGAGTAAGTAAGAACTTTATTACAGTGTCGAAGTCGCTAGCATACAATGTACACTACCTGGGAACACCTAACTACAATTACTTGTCTAATAGGACGGTAATAATAAAATAAACTAATAATCAATAAAATATGAAATTACGTCCACACGTAAAATCAGTTATTAGTTGTTACATAAAAAACAGTCTTTACAAGTGCTGTCCAGCAGGCTTGTGAAATGAACCAGTTTAATACGCTTTTTGAAAATGTCCAATGATTCAAACGATCGAATAGATACGTCGAGTTTGGACCAAATGACATGGCCTAGGTAGGTCAGGCTATGTTTGCCATAGGCAAACGTGGCTTTGTACCACTTGACCAAGGTTTCCCTTTACTTGTCGTTTACTGTTCATTACTTCAACACAAATACTGGTCGTTTTACGTTAGTTTTATCAATACCAATTGTTTTGGCCTGTTTTTATCTTTTCATTTCTAAACTTGAGAAATTGCCAACTTGAATCTGACGTTTGCCGTTTGTCGCCAACGCGATTCTAAATCTCTCTAATTTTTCATTTGGTCAACAAGGATTCGAGTATCTTATTTCTTTGTGCTCAGGTATTTAGTTTGATAAACTGAAAAAAAAAAAAAAGTCGTATTTCGAGTCTGCGCCAGTCGCACGAAAGG